CAGGAAATAAAAAGCGGGAAAAAACAATTAAAAGAAGAAAGGAAAGCTGATGCAATTAAGATTTCAAAACAGAAATTTGGACTTTACTGTAATCTGAAGGACATGCACCAAGTAGTCAGGGGAAGGTATGTCTGCTTCTAAGGGCAGAGAACTGCAGGTTAAGTCCCAGTTCAACTGAATGCTTAAGGATTTGTTTATCTTCAAGCATGTCAAGGTCTGCAGAATACATGCCCTGCCTTAATGAGGAAAAAGTTTAAATTTTGCCCTCAAAGTTGCAGTTTTATTACAAAGTTAGTGGATAAAATACCTCATTGCTGTCTTTGAAAGTGAAACATAAAATTGTGTGTCAAAGATGCCGAGACATCTGGGATTTAATTCCAGGGGTGAATGTAAGAGGATGGTGTGGAATCTGGGAGGTTAGCAGTTGAAAAGCAGTAACTACCATATGCCATGATTATTTCCTAGGTAGGAGAACACACCCATGTAGCTTATTAAGTAGATTCAGCTTATTCATACAATCATAACAATAACTGAGGTTAGAGATGTTGATTAGGAGTACTATAACAGATGCCCTGATGCATCTACCTTTTTATGCTTGTTTTTACTCTCCTCATTGCTCAAACTGTAAGCAAAGAAATGATGGAGAGACAGTGCCAGAGATCATATTCCATTTCAGTGTATCTTAAGGACTCTGGGTTTTGATTGTTGGCTTTTTCTGAATTACATGATTCTTTCAGGCTTCCCGAAATGTGGAAGGTTTTGTGTTGTACTGAAACTTAATTTAACTCCACTCCCTCTCACAAAGTGCAGGTTACTACACCTGCCGTAGTGTTGGTCTAGGTGAGATGCCAAAGAGGGCAATTGCAGTGCAAGTGGAGTCCTTCAGAGCTCAGTCCCTTTTCAAAGGATGAAATACACTGTTGTTATCCTACAGGGTAGTAAAACAGTTTGTTCCCACCATGCAAGGTAAACACAAGGGTTTAATAAATCTTTCAGTCCTTGAAATGAAAAAAAAAAAAAAAAACCCAAACCAAAAAACCCAAAACCTTAATCATCAGAACCAGGTATTTTGTAGCTGTGTAAATTGTAGTGATCAGCAGGGAACACTTCATTCTTCTCCCAGATGACAGTATATTCCTCATCTTCCTGACATTTTTGTAGCACCCACAGCATTTCACTATAACCTTGTCTGATTTATAGCATCTCTAGTAAGAGAACTAAGTCCTGGATTAGCTATTTTACTTTGCTTTTATTGTGGTTTAATGGAGTAGATGGGTTTAAGCTGTGAATATCCTGTCTAGTTTTTAATCACTGAGGGTGTGGTTCAGTCAGTGTTTTGAGCCAAGATAAGGGGGAAATCCTGTTTCTGAATTACCAGTCCAGCCCTCTTCCCTGTAGCAGTAGTGAAGTTTCTGGTCCTGTGGTTAAAAATTCAACCCTTCCACACCACTGAGTGTATTAATTTTAAGTCTGATTGTTCCCTGATCTGCTTTGCTCTATGGTCACCCCAGTTCTTGTGCCTACACAAAGAGCAGTATGTGAAAAAGCAAGAGAGAGGAGGGCAGGTACAGCTGTGTCTTCTAGTTAATAACACATACTTAAGTCCAGCTTAAAGTAATTATTGCATTGAGTGTTCATGGTCATTTAGAAACAGGATTTGAGTCTAGACCATCTCTAATCTATGCTTCTGTAAAATGGGGGAAGACAATATCTTTTCAATGGGGAAACAAACCAAGCGACTTGGAGGCTGTTATGGAAGGGTTCAGGAAAGAGGTATAGCCTGGTCTTGGATAAGCAATGACTAGTTAAATTCAGACAACATGAAACTTGATGAAACGGTAACTTCTACAAATTCAAATTACTTTTATACTGGCAGAGTGTTGTAAATGGTCTTGATGCAAATGAAAATCTGCTTCAGCAGTGTCAAATTTATAACAAGGTGGAGCTGAAGTTCAAAGTGTTACTTCTCACATCATGTGAACTCTGTTTCTCCTGCCAACAGTGCTGTACTGACTGATGGGTCAACTTTCCCCTCTCATAGGTGGAATCGTCGCAGGAAGCCAATGCTGAAGTCATGAGAGAGATGACAAGAAAACTGTATAGTCAGTATGAGGAAAAAATGCGAGAAGAGGAGCAGAAACATAAAGCTGAGAAAGAAATCCTCCTAGTACGTATAGCCAGTTAGTAAGAGTGGTGCTTAGCTTGGGTGTTATTTCTCAATCACTTAATACTCCAGAGTTGACATGTGTTCCTTCACTTCTGTCTCTGTGACTACTCATGCCACAGTTACTAAGCTTTCCAAGCTTTTGCAGTTGTAGGGCTGAGAAAAGAATGTGTTCAAACACAGTAACAGTAATGATAATGTAGATTTCAAAATTTGAAATGGGGTAAGTTGGGTTTTTTAACTTCTGATTCTCTAAAAAAAAAAAAAAAGGAAAATATAATGTCCAATTTTAGTGATAGTTTAAGAAGGGGAGGGGGAACGGCTTCACTGGATGGTACTGGAGCAAGAACTCTTCCTGTCCCCTGGTTTCCGTCCACCCCCCAAGTAAAACCTTTCGATGAGCAGTTTGTCATTGCATTTTTCTAACTGATAAAGATAGATAATGACTGAGATTGAAGGTAGATTTCCCCAGTCTCTTTCTATTCATACTGTTTTATATGCGAGAAAAGCACAAAGCTGAACGTGGCAAACTTTGATGTTTAAAATGCTATCTTCTGCAACAGCATATTTTTCTTATGCTGTTACTTCACGGCATCCTCAGAAGGGAAAACAAATATCTAAGAAATGGGTAAAAGTTTTTCTCAGATTTTCATAATGATGCTTTACAAATATGTATGCACTTCAGAGTGCCCCAACTCTTTTGTTCTATACAATTCACATTTATGGTCACAACTCTTCTAGACTTTTGGGCACGTGTAGTGAAAAGCTTTGAGCTGTGCTTAAAAGCTATTAGCCTGGCTCTTGGCCTTAAAAAAAAAAAAAAAAATCCTCAATATATTGTATGTTAATGTGACTGTAAATGTTCTTATTTGAAGGAGGAAACAAATCGGCTTCTGAAGGCTATTGAAGAGGCAAATAAGAAGATGCAGATTACAGAAACAAGCATTCAGGAAAAAGACCAGAGAATTGGTGAGCTGGACCGGCTGATTGAACGCATGGAAGAGGTATGAGAGTTAGTTGATTGCCGCCTTTAAAGGAAATGCAGAAGTGCATGGAGGAAATTTGATTTTTTGTTTGGTTTTTGTCTGCTGCTCAGTACTCTGCTCAGTGATACACCATTGCTGTTTGCATCTTACTTAGCTACTGTATCCATATAAGTAAATGGACCTGGACTACCGTAGAGACACTGTGACTACATGGTTCTTCTATCTTTCTAGTGGTCTTTACAATCAGGGCTGCCTAAGGTGTCAAATTCATTTAGTAAATTAACCATTTTTTTTAAAGAAAGAGTTTAAAAAGACCCTTCAGTCTTCCTTCAGTGTGCAAGGTCTCCTAAGCCCAATGAAGTAGTAATCATTAATGATCCAAAGTCTTTTAGAAATGCTGTTGGTAGGTCCATTAAAATGTGTTTTAGTTAGGAATAGACCTTTATTTTAATGTATTGTTAAACCTAAGAGTATCACAGTACCTTTCCTTGCATAGTACACTGCATCTGAATCTCATTTGTTGAACCTTTTCAGCTTTCTGAAAAAGCTTTAAATCTTCTGTCTCAAACAGTTACAGTGAAATTTCCTCTTCATTTTCTGGTATCAATCACCTAACTGAGAATGAATGTTATTGTTTAGTCCTCAGGCTGAATAGTGTCACTCTAAACGGTATGAGAGCAGCCCTTCCAAAAGACTGCAATGCTCTTGGATGTACTTTGGTGTTTCTCATTTCATTCAAGAGCAGGCATGTCGTTATCTTTAAAGATCTGTGCTTTGCTATCTAAAATACAGAAGCAGAGAGCGTTCTAGCAAGTGGAGTGAATATGATCTTCTGTTCTTACAAGTGAAGTGTTTTTTCACCAACTCCAGTTTAGTATATTAAATATTTGTTACTGAGAAGTAGATTTTTATAAGCCAGTCTTGTTGGCTTGACTGGTTAGTCTAATGTGCATTTGTATTGAGCCCCTTTTGTCTAATGCTTGCAAATCTATTAGTAGGATTAGTGATTACAATGCAAAATCATTCAGCTTAATATGCCCCTTTAGTAGCTCCAGCTACTTTAGTAGCTCCTGGGCTTCAGCCTACAACTTACAAGTATTATGCAGTGAATAGAGGATTGCAATATAGTTCTTAAGTACAGATGAGTTTCTTCACGTTGGTTATTTAATTTGCTCTTATCTGGCTGATACTTGCAGAATATCATCTGCAAGTATCAGCCAGATAATGCCTCTTAAATTCCTGTTAAAGTGGATAGCAGACTCCTCTGTTAATTTGTGTTGACTTGGTCCCCAAGTCCTCATAGATCTTCATGAGCACTGTGCTGGTGGACATCTAAAAAATAAACAGGAATATTCAGGGGAAGAAAATAGAGCAATACCTTTTATCTCAGCCTTGGATTGAGAGATCTTTTTTGAGGGATAACATGGAAAATTTGACATTTATGTAGTTAAAGATTGTGACAACTCATCTTTTTATTAAAAAATTTTTCAAGTACAACCGTACATCTTCGAATAGGAAATTGAAAACTCTGATCTTATTTCCATGCATAACTGGGAATTTGATTTTATTATTATGCGTTCTGTGCTCCTTGCATGAATCTTGTTTAATCAGTTTCTGTTTTAATTTCACAAATGATCTCTTGAATTGCAATGAAATATGCTTTGTGAAGCCCTTACATTTTGACACACGGAGAACTGAAGGATAACATTTCTTGTTTAGGAACGTCACCAGCTGCAAAAACAACTCGAACTAAATGAAATACAAATATCTGGAGCAAAATCTGAAAACAACTCTGACAGTGAAAGGTGAGATATGTCTTGTCTGTGGAACTTCTAGTATTGCTCAGAAACTTTAGAGGTTTGTTTGTTTGTTTTTGAAGACACTTGAATTTTACTTTTTCTAATTTTAAAACTGCAGTCTGGTAGGGATTGTCCATCTGAATGTAAGTTTATTTACAAGTAAAATATCAAGAGGATTAATTTTGCAATAAAAAAAAACTTTCATGCATCTGTCCTGGCTTAACCCCAGCTGGCAACTAAGCCCCACGCAGCTGCTTGCTCTCTCCCCCCGGTGGGATGGGGGAGAGAATCGGAAGAATAAAAGTGAGAAAACTTGTGGGGTGAGATAAAGACAGGTTAATAGGTAAAGCAAGAGCCACACACGCAAGCAAAGCAAAGCAAGGAATTCATTCACTCCGTCTCATCAGCAGGCAGGTGTTTAGCCATCTCCAGGAAAGCAGGGCTCCATCACACGTAACGGTTACTTGGGAAGACAAACGCCATCACTCCCAACGTCCCCCCCTTCCTTCTTCTTCCCCCAGCTTTTAATTGCTGAGCATGATGTCATATGCTGTGGAATATCCCTTTGGTCAGTTGGGGTCAGCTGTCCCAGCTGTGCCCCCTCCCAACTTCTTGTGCCTCCCCAGCCTGCTTGCTGGTGGGGTGAGAAGCAGAAAAGGCCTTGACTCTGTGTCAGCACTGCTCAGTAGTAACGAAAACATCTCTGTATTATCAACACTGTTTTCAGCACAAACCCAAAACATAGTCCCATACTAGCTACTATAGAAAAAATTAACTCTATCCCAGTCACAAACCAGCACAGCATCTTTTCTTGAAAAGTTGTTTGCAAACATGCAGAGTACATTTTAGATGGAACAAGTTGTGATGTATTTGTGGATTGCATTTTTCTTAAATCTGCATTCCCAAATTCAGCACAGTATGATCCTGACTCTGAATACTTTCATTATCTGTTCTAGACTGCTCAACACAGTTTTAAAAGACAAGACATTCTGTATCCTGTATTAAGCTGTAGGACATTCCCTTTGAAAAGATGAACTCTTGAAGAGAGCAAGAGTTTTGCATATAACTGCCAGAGGGGTCTTTTTTTGTATAAAAGAGTAAGCGGGGAATATGTTTGAGGCTTGGAGGAGCAGGTCTACGTATGTGATACACATTAACATATGCATGTGAACAAAATGAAGGTGTGGAAGAAATCTGTTATGTAGCATCACAGTGCAGAAATAAGCTATGAAGTTATTTGGGGAACATGAGGGTGATGTTATTGGCAGTGAGACCTTTGTGAATGGTTGTCCTCGAAAGCATGAGGCTTAGAAGAAAGATCTAGTGGTGTGGTGGCACCTGGATGTGTTGTTTCTGCCCACAGGTGTCATGTGCATCCATTACTACCTCTTTGAGACTGACAGAGCACCATGACCAGTCAAAAGAAAGCTTCAAGCAAAGCCAGAGGCAAAGTTTCAAGAGAAATCTGTCTAGCACTGAAATAGCGTAACTGCCATTGGAGTGAAAATTGCATCCGCCACTCAGAGGTTTATATGACACTACTTGAGTGGCTAAAGATGAATTATAAGCAGAGACTGTATAATTGTACTTGATTACTACTTATATTTCTGTGGCACCCAGAAATTCAGTTTTAAGGTTTTGGCATCCCGCTGTTCTGTAGGAAGCATAAACATAAAAGGAAGTCCCTGCCAAGAGCATCTCACTGCCTAGTTGTATTGATCTGTGACCAGCTTATCTGTTTTCAGGGTAATAACAGCTGTTCACAGCAGCCTGTTAAAATAATAATTTAAAGTGAACAGATGTCACATACAATATAGAATATGGAGATGAAAGATAATTGCTTTCTTCCTTTACTGCTGGATAACAGATACTCTTCTCACTTCAGTGAACCTTGCCCTGAATACTCAGCATGAAAAGTTATGCTGCAGTAAAAAGGGTAAAGGCAATGTTCAGACAGGAATTTGTGCAATGCAAGCAAGCACGCAGTTGCAATCTATGCAATGCAAGGAATGAATCTGTGTTCAGATGCTGAAGCCTGTTCTTAAGTTCTCTTTACCTGTCTGTACCCGACCAGACACTTGAACTCCACCTGAGGAAGGACCTCTGTTCCATTGCTATCAGTGCTTAAAATTATCTTTCAATGAGAGACCAAATATGTGTTACAACTGCAATCAAAATGTAAATTGTGGTTTTGTGAGACCTTCATATGCAGGATTGAAAAACCTGCAGCAATGCCTTGAGTTTTTTGAGTCCTTGTTAAAGTGCTGCAGTTACAATTCTGTAGAGTACTTCACTGTTAATAGAGACTCTTTCTGGGAGGAAACAGCATTCAATTCTGTCATTCATTGGAATCATGTCATGCAGTTTGCCATCTGCTGCTTTGCCTTAGAATGGTTGTTCTATTTGCAGCTTCAACAGTTTCTTCTGCTGTGCACAGACCAAGATGAAAAAAGCCTTTTTGTTTTCGATTCCCCTCCTCCACTTCTCAAATTCTGTCCAGTCCTGAACCTAGGAGTACAGAAGTTTATTTTGTAAGCAAGCAATTGCTTTCTTTGAAGAATTTTGAGAATTGTACATTCAGATAAAAATGGAGTCTCCCATGGCCAACACGCCAAAAACTTATTACAAAGCTTCCCTCCTGTTTCTTTGCATATTCTAAAACTACTTTTCTGGCAAGCTTTCAAACCAACTTGTGGCAGGAGTTCTGTGGGTGTTCAATTTCTGTGTTAAACAGATTTGAAGAAATGCAGAATCTATCTAAAGAGTCATACATACAAACTTAAAACAAAACAAATGGAAACATTCAAGGTCAGGTTGGACGGGGCTCTGAGCAACCTGATCTAGTTGAAGATGTCCCTGCCCACGGCAGGGGCGTTGGACTAGATGACCTTTAGAGGTCCCTTCCAACCCAAACTATTCTATGATTCTGTGATCCTATCCTGCTGACTGTTGATGAGTTAATACTACTCCAGTTAGCATTCTGCTAGTTGGCAACTATGCCAAATCCTTGACTCAAGGCTTCCTTGTGGTAGGAGAGCTTTTAAAAGGACGCCAGCAGATGTGCTTCCTGGCTTTTATTTAGTATATATTTCCAAAAAGGTTGCAAGTGGTAATAAGTCAGGATAAATGTGTCTTTCTGATGATAAAGATCTAGTTGGCTAAATGCCTTTCACTTCAAGGAAAAACAGACATCTTAAGGAGATGAGCTTTGTCACATTGTTTAATTGTCAGCACTTCAGGCTCTGAGTAAGCATGTCAGTATGCAAGACAAAGGTGAGTTAACTTGGGTGGAGACAGCCACTTTGACTAAAAGACTACCATTAAAATGTACTTTGGGCAAATTGACATCTGTCAGTGGAATTTGACTTGCCTACCTCTCGACCTAGTCTTCCTGATTTATAGTGGTATTGTGGGGGTTGTTCTTGTTTTGCTTATGCTGCATAGCTCCCCACTTACATGCTTAATTCTTCCATGTTCTGCTAGGTCACAGCATTTGGAGGAGGTAGCAGCCAGCCTAAGAGAGCGAATCAAACATCTGGATGATATGGTCCACTGCCAACAGAAGAAAGTCAAGCACATGGTTGAGGAGGTGAGACCTAGTAAAACAATTCTGAGTCTTTTGGGAACACTGATTATTCTTTTAGTACATAATCCAAAGAGAGCTCTGTTCTGTGTGCAGTTTCCTTATGCCACCTTAGTTACAAACACAATGGAAGATGAGTTAAGCATCTGGAGCTAGTGAAGCAGAAAGACTAGGTGAAAGCAGTTTAATCCAGTAGCTGTGGGTTATATACTGTGATCTTTAGGCTAACACTAATTCTGGAACTCTTCATGGTAGTCCAGGAAATACAACATAACAACTTACAACTTAATTTGAAGTGTTCAGAGGGTAACTGCAGAAACAATGCAGACTAGTCAGTGAGGGTATCCTTCCTGTACGGAAGTGGAAGGCAAAAACTGACCTTTTTTTTTGTGTGTGTGTGGTTCCTCACAGAAACAGGGGGGCAAACACAGTTTTTCCACCACTCATCTTTTTTACCCAGCTCTTGGGACATCATCTTAGCTGCTATAATTTCCTGTAAAATTTTAAGTGGCTTTCTGCTGGAAAGCTGCTTCAAGTTACAAGCTACCTACGTGCCAAGAAACTGTTTAGCAGTCAGAAGGCTGTGATTGCAAACATTTCTGTTTCTCCAAGTGGATGAAAGAATGACATGGGAAATAGGTAAATTAAGTTTAAATTGGAGCTTTACAAAGCAGCCTGACAGCACTGTTACACTGAGCCTTGCTATTGCACAGAGGATAGGCATTAATGAAATATCTTTTATTTGTATTTGGACATCACACATTCACAAATTCAAATGTTTGGAAACCATTCTAACGGAAGGCATTTGTTCTGCATTGACAATGTGCTGTTATAGGATTTCTGATTAGACATGGAGTTTTTCCATTTTTATCAAGGTGATAGTTTTTTTTCCTCTCTCTCTCCCCCCTGTATTTTTTTATATATATATATTTACCTATATCTGTTTTGTTTTATAACATTCTGATGTAGTCCTGCTGTATGATCAGATGTGTGATACTAAGCGTCTCTTACACAGAGGGATGCAAAAGTATCTATTTCTTTGCATTAAAGTTCTTCTGCCATATTATCAGTATAGAAGACTGGTATAAAGTCTTGAAGTTTTGTTTCTAGTTCAGTTTGCCATTTTCACTATTTCCAAGCATCATAGGAGGTGGCCTAAAACTGAGTTAACAATCTTTATACCATGGTATTCTCTTAAGGAAAACTTCTCCGATCTAATAATGCATTTCATGTAATTAATGGATTATGGGAACAATTATTTAATCTGTTTTGTATCTCTGTAAGCCAACCATCGTATTATGAGCTTTCTTTGTTCTAACCAAAAGTTCTAAAGGACTTGTCACTTTGTGATACATGTGGCAACCCAGATGATTCTAGTAATATATAAGAGGATGGTGGCCTAAACTTTGTCCTTCATTACTGAATGTATTTGAAACTGCTTGGTGTAATTTGACCTCTAGTGGGCTGCATTGGTATAACAAATACTTTCAGTTCCATGGGGTGTTTTGGCAAAAACATGTATAAAGCTTGGGCCAATGATTATTATTTCACAAATATTAGGTTTGATGGGTGAGTTTAGCTTGCTGATTCCTTGTAATGTATCTCTGCTGGTGACTTCATATACACAGAAAGCCCTTCTAGATCTTTTGGTTGTCCTATATAACAAGTAGAATGTTAGATGACCAACTCACTACTTAGCTGTCAGATATGTCTAGTTTTAATTGATGTCTGACTACCTGCATTTCAAAATCAATTAAATCTCTGTACAAATCCTTGACTGCCATGTAGCCACAGGGAACATATTTTTGCTTTCTCCTTTAGTCCTCGTATGTTTTAGTTTTTCTTTTAATTCAGTTTCCTTGAGAACTGCATGAACACCTGTAGCTACATCTATATTTTCACTAGTGAGCTAACTAAAGACTCCTGTAACAGAGGTTTGATCAGGTCAGATGGTACCAAATACATTAGGCACTTAATGTTTTTTTTTTTTTTAATTTTGTGCTATCCATGGTTTGTGTTTGTACTGTATTTGAGGAAATATCTACAATATAGTTGGCATGCACCATTTTAAACTGGACTCTTAATTAACGGCCTAAATATAGCAGCTTTAATAGTACAGAGAAGAGTAGCTGTCTACCACGGGGGAAGATAAAAAGCATTGCAGATGTGTATGCCCTGAGCTATCCACGCACGTGGTATTTTTTGTCATTTTTGCGCTTTTCTCTACATATATATTAGAAAAGTATTTTTAGGCTCACTTTAAGCAACACTTACTAACTATGCTATAGAAGCTGAGAAATCGGCAACAAAAATACTTATTAAAAGGTAGGCTGTTGAAAAGGAATGCTGTCTGAAGAGTCAGTTCTGCAGTTAAGTTAAAAACTAGGGAGCAACAGCACTAAACATACTTTCTAGAGTAAATAGGGAAGACTTTGTAATTGCGCTACTATTTAAGTCCCAGAAAATGTGTTCATCAGGGTATATTTGAACGCATGTCCTCTCTACATTAAATTTAACTGAATGCAGAATGTAATAGCTAGGAATATCTAGAAAAGTGTCATGAAAACCTGCCATGTTACTCATTATTGCAATACTTTCATGGCTGGTAGCTGTAAAATAACATTCCATCTTAGGGTTTATGAGGGTATTATAATAATCAATAACTTGCATTTAAATATAATTGAGAAAGAATGATCAAAGCGGCTAGAAAGTCTGCTTTCTGAAACGCTTAGCTTCTCTGTTGCATGAGAACGGACTGAGAACAGGCTAACCTGGAAAACTCAGAGGAGAAGTGGAAAGAAAGTTAAATAGTTAAAATTATCAGCAGTGCTTTTGTTAGAAGCTGAAACAAAGCTACTGTGTGAAGCACGTGAGAATGATGGCTAAGCCTATGCTTGCTTGACTACCGGATGAGCTTTATTTAGTATTAATCTTGGTATATTTGGACATAGTTCTGAAGTATAAATGAAGGGTTTATTCTTTCAGTGTAAATCACAATGGGTTTATGCTGTTATCATCTCCAATTTAGACAAAGTGCAGCTACAGAAATGAACAACATTTCATACGGGTGCTGAACAAACAAGATAATGTTGCTTCAAACTCACATGGAGAACTGTCAAAATTGAACAAGTACTGAGATGAATCTGCTGGCTGAAAAATCAAAA